GTCCGTTATCATCTTGATAAAAATCCTCTTTTTATGGCTGTTTCTTTTCCCCTGTGTAGATTCATGCAGCCATATGACTCATATAAACTAGATTTATTTTTGAACTTATTATAAAATAAGGCGATTTTTGTGCTTTCCATTTGCATTCCCTTTCAATTGAAGTATGTAAGGGATACTTTGAAGCCAACATAACATTCCCTATGAAATTATTGAACTTGCTTAACCATATTAACCAACAGCTTAACAACTCTTGAATCTGATTATGTTCGCAAATAAAAGCCAATTATGTGAAATAAAAATGATAAACTTCTACTTATATCTATATATATATACGAACAATTGATGAGGGCTCACAGATGCTACAAGTGTGCTAAAACCGTACAATTCTGGTGAAATCGGTACACAAAGTACACTCTCCACACGGTCATTAAAGTTGGTGTAATAAAGCAGATGGTCTTAATAATCTAATCAGATGCCAAAAACATCTCAATGTCAGAAACATTCTTGTTTTTGGTGCTCTGCTTTTCCCGTCTTATTTCCTCTGAAACGTTTAGAAACCTTTGCAAGTTTGTGGTTTTACCGTTTGATTGTTGTGAATATTTGGATGGCTTTTGGCAAATGCATGCGGATGGGTATTCTTGAAAATCTCCTCTTCCGGGTCTCATCTCTTCAGGTTCTCCCATGAAACCTCTCTGACAGGATTTGACCTTCCTCGAGAAGGTGCTCCATTCCATTTTGTGTCGTGCTGCAAACAAAGCACTCAGCCTTTTGGCGTTTGGTCTGATTGTTCTCTTATGACCCATGTACCTCCTTCACCGAAAGAAAAATTAAAAAATTAAAAAAAAAAAAAAAATTAAAAAAAAAAAAAAAATCAAGGCAAAATTACGAGTACATCCAAACTCCACAGAGATGACAGTATGCAGTGAACAGTAAAAAGACACTGATGAAAAAATCGTGGTATCATAAATAACACCATCAGGAAGTGAATGCAGAAAATTTAATAGTCAATAATTGTAAGGAAAGCTTGAGTTTCCTTTGTTGATGTCAGGGATATGTGTTTTGATATCGGTTTTAGCACAAGAGCGCACCAACAAAGTGCTAAATCTCGAATGATCATATCATTGTTTCTATGTGATGCAAGTCAAACACAACTTTGATCATCATAATTACGTAAAAGATAATTATGCACAAGTGTCACCTTGAATGAAGATTGTTTACTATAACACAGAATACTTACCGTCTACCAGACAGGATTTTTGCCATATTCCCATTGTTATTGGTGACAAAGACATCACTTTCATCACAGACAATGTAGTCGACAGCAGCCAAGCGAGACGAAAAGGGAACAAGAGATTTCAACTCCTCACTGGCTAGTGACTCTTTCGTATAGAAATTCGGAAAGAGTTCTTTGAGGGGACGCAAAGTTTCTTCTCCACCATATATTTCACCAGATGCAACGTAAAGATACGTGTTATTATCGAAGTCAAGAGCCCGCAGCAACAAACCAATCTCATGAGGTGTCAAAGGACACTTCCCTCTTGTTCGCTCTTCATCTGGACTTAATTCCTGAAGCAACAATTACAAACCGTCATTCTAAACCTTTTTATTGTTCAAGTTCAGCATATGACTAGGAAATCTAGGGTGTTTTTGTAAATAAAACAATTCAATCCATACTCAAAATCTAACTCAACTTTAACACAACCCCACTATCCTCAATATTATCAATATAATTAAATAATATCAATCATTCATTCTCACATAACACATTAAATTTAATTCACTATTCATCCACTCACATAATTTTAACTGAACATCACTTCACATTATCTCTCTCCTACTTTTACATCAACTAACCATACCACCTTTTTCAAAATTAACCATGGGTAACAAAAAAACTCGTTTTGAGCATATATATATGTATCCAAGCACGCCCCTACTGGAAAAATGCACTTTTGGTCATTGCATTTGACATAATGGCAAGAATGAATATCTTACAGGTAATGTTTCCCACCGCTTTCTTATTTCAGCCAGCTCATTTCTTTCTTTATAACCCCCACCAAAGTAACATCCCGAAAACGCGAGCATATCAGGTTCAAACCTACAAATTACATTTCATAATATTAAGCACCCTAATCTTTAATATAAAAACATTCGCATGTATAATAGATAAAGCATACAGTGTGTAGGCAAACACAGTAGACTCGCAGCAACTAAATTTTTCAAGCACTACAGATCATGTGAGGCAGTGATATGCAAACCGTGTTACAATGTAAACAAGGACACTAACTTACATGTAATCCTATTTTTACGAGAAATTAGTACACAGAAGCAGGTGAGAGATCTCCAAGTGGGATATTCAAGAAAAAAACATACATGTAATCGATTGGAATTCAAGGCTTCATATTGACTTTTTCACCATTGTTTTCCATCATGTTCAGATTCAAAATCAACTTAGGTTATTCAAGAAGGTACTACAAAGGGTGGGAAGAGTGCTGGTGAGAATCAGTACAATCTATTCAAAAAATCACTTTCAGTATAACAGTATGCGACATCATGCTGATACATAATCATATCTCTCCATCAGAACAGTTCAAATCTTGTGTGTGCTTGTGTCTCCACTGTACGTTTCTCCATGATATTTCACAATTGGTTTCATCTATTAAATTGCAAGATACAAAGAGGGTCAAATTTGCAGCAAGTGAAACTGATTTTTGTATCGATGGGCTGACTTGCAGGCAAGACTCCATCTTGAAAGAAAAAGATGGAAGCTCCAGCAGTGTAAATACCTATAGATAATTAGATATTCGTAATCTCTTCAAAGAAGGTAAAATCACAACTGATTAACACACTCTGGTGTGACTACCGATGCTCGAGGACTGAGATTCTAATTTGTAGACATGAATTAAGATGAACATGAGCTTCTGGTGGGACTCTGGACTTTCATGAAACTTTTAACTCTATTAATAGTGAAATACCTCAACAAATCATGCAGTAGTTTCTTATATTAAAAAAAAGTGAAAAAAAGCTCATGTAGCAATAGAAACAATTCAGATGACACAAGAATAACATGATGATTAACAAGGTTTTACAAATTTTCTATCATGTTTGCAGTTTAAAGTATCACAGATGAAGAACAGAAAATGTTCGTGACATATAAGGATCCAAACCTCAAGTGAACAGCAACAAAACGTTTTGCCATTTTCCGCATGCGCGTGACAAGCTTCAGGCCAAGACTTCTTATAGGTTTAGTAAATCTTAAAGCATTATAATTAACTCGACAACGTAGTTTTTGTAGGTCTTCATCGAGATCATTAGCAAGCCTATAATCAAACTTCGTCAACTGAAGAACCTGCAAAAATAGTTAGGGGGTGATTGTTTATGAAATAATTTGTTCAATATGAATTATTTTGGTTAACTATAGTTAATTTTGAAAAAGGTGGTATGGTTAGTTGTTAGTGGAATTTTAAGAATGTATTATAATAATATGTAAAATAAAATGATTAAAATTGATTTGATGTAAAAGTAGGAGATAAATGATTGGAAATGATTGGTAGTTAAAATTATGTGAGTGGATGAATAGTGAATTGAAGTTGATGTGATGTGTAAGAATGATTGGTTTGTATTGTTTAATTATATGAATAATATTAAAGATAGTGTGGTTGAGTTAAAGTTGAGTTAGATTTTGAGTATGAAATAAATGGGAATGAAATAATTCATAAACAATCAAGCCCTTAGAATTACTCATAAGTTGAGCTGGTTTAAATAGATTCAACCCCGATGGACACAACACCTTTCCTCATGAGATCTTTCGAACAAAAATTAAAAAAATAAAAATAAAAAAAGGCGAGACTTCTGTGAAATTCTCATTCATCTAAATAAGAATAAACCAAACAAAAATTTATAGACCTTGTCCATCACAATATCATATCTCCCATTTCACTCAGAATGATGTTCCAATATGATATAAGAACAGGCAATCTTGTGTATGTTTAATCTTTCTCGAAATAGATGAGGTTATTTGAGTTATTCGTTGGCTAAATGAAAGGATAATTTTTTCGATTCCAGTAAGGACATCCTATTTGGGATTTAGAGAAGAAAAAGTGGCCATGTATTTTGTTTAGTTCCTTTACTGAAATTTATTATTTTTGTTTAGTTACTTTATTGAAATTATTATCAGAACCACATGTAACTAACCTTCCCATAGCAGCAATACAAACACTGACATATAATTACAATAAATTTTCTTAAACCATTCTGAAAATCTAACAGAGAAGTCCAAAGCGTTTACTTACGTCACATTCAATATTTCTCATCAAACAAGCACTTAATTTAATTTCAAATGTTCACATATTATAATCGTCATGAATATAATTATGTCCTATTTCTGGCAGGCTGAGTTACGGGATGATTATTGAACATAGAGGAATTAGGAATCTAAAGAATATTACTTATGGTTCATTCACAGAACTTGGTAAAAACAAACTAATTTTCCTAATTATATAGAAAAAAAGGGAATGTAAAAGCATGAAGTGTGGATAGTGGTTGCAGGATAAAAGCACATGCAGATGCACTTGTGCCGGAGCACAGATGATATCTAAGTTATCATATAACATTGTTCGCAGAAACCGTGAGCTTCACTATTAAAATTTAAGATCCAGATAATTTCCAGATCATTTGTATTACTAAGCTTTCACTTACACGTCTTCTTAATAGAATAGGCAGCACTTGCTCCAGGTAATAGTCAGGTTCTGATTTTCGGGGAACACGCATGGTATATGGTGGTTTATCCATTGACCTCATCACCTTCTCTGGCACCCTTTTAACAATTGGGACGTCCTTGGAAAGGTAAGAAATGAACCAGTCAACATCAAAGATGTTGACAAAATCACTGCATAAACAAGTAATATCTTGATGAGAAAATGACAATAATATTATTTTAATACAAACTAATATCAAATACTGGAATTACTACGTTAAAGGGAAAGCATAATCAAGTGTTGTGAGCATAAATTTAACTTGAGGCATTACCGAAACAAAACCCAACAGCAAAAACATTATTTTAGACTTTATCTACTTGACCTTAGAAGTTAAGGGCATGCTTGTTTATGAAATAATTTGCTCAAAATGAGTTATTTTGATTAACTAGAGTTAAATTTAAAAAAAAGTGGTATAGTTAATTGTTAGTGGGATTTTAATAATGTATTAAAATAATATTTAAAATAAATAATTATTATTGATTTGATGTAAAAGTAGGAGATAAATGATTGGAAATGATTGAAAATGATAGGTAGTTAAAATTATGTGAGTAGATGAATAGTGAATTACAGTTGATGTGATATATAAGAATGATTACTTTATAATATTTAATTATATAAATAATATTAAGGATAGTGGGGTTGAATTAAAGTTGAGTTAGATTTTGAGTATGAAATAAATGTGAGCAAATTATTTCATAAACAAGCATGCCCTAAGTGTTACCATGACTAGATACTGAAGGATCTTTATATTTGTTAAAATTCCAACTAACCTGTCATCCTTCCAGTACGAATGGTGATCCAATTCTGGCACAACCAGAGTAGCATTTAGAATTCTTGCGACAACTACAGCATCAGTTATCTAAAGATCACAGATTGATGAACAAATTAGATTCTTAATCACAGAGTGAATAACAAAAGGTGGACATGAAGAACTCAGGTTAGTGAGGGATGTGTATGAACAGAAAGAAATAAAAACTAGTACAAGCTACCAAATAATGTTACATAGGGAATAACCTGACTTCAGTAAAGAAACACTTACTCCAGTTCTTTGTTGGTTGAGCCCCCCACTAGTAGCAATAAGTAAGTAGCCATTTGAAAAGCGTTCGCGTACAGGAGCTATAGATCAACAATTAATGGGTTTAGATCATAAATTTTCACCACTTCACAAATAAGAGATGTAGACTATCGCATTCAAGTCAACAAACTCAGGACTATTAATTGCTCATTTGGAGCTATATCTTAAACTCAATCTAGAGTTGTTTTTTTAAATATATCTCCGGATTGATCTAAACTTGAACATCCTTGACAGTTTGATATGGAAAGCGCATTAATTAGAAACAGCGCCCATAAGAAATCATGGGTCGCAAAATGCAGAAACAAATCTTGTTTGTTTCGTATATAAAACCTGTATATACAATATTTGAGAACCTTTTCTTACACAAAGGTGCAAAACCCAACACATAGTCGCATCTTAACACTGACTATGTTACAACAGAAATATCAATTAGAGATGCAATCCCAGATTCAAGTGATAGAACTGAGACAGAATCGTAAGCAACCATTAGAGCCCATGCAATTACATAATCAATTTAACAATTGTGTAATGTCAAAAAAACTCATCTTCCAAAATTTTGAGAAATCTGAAGCAGGATTTGACCAACTTACGCGCAAAATGAGGGCCTCTATTACTGCAGCCATAATAAAAGTTTGAATACTTTGATTTCCATATATCAATTGGAGCACGATCACGTCTATCCTGCATTGCGTTAACATCAAGACACTGTGAAGTCAGTAATTGGTATATAAGCAATAAGTGCTAAGCAGAAGCTTGTTTAAAACAACTAGCGTAAAGTAAGATGTGTAAAAAGATGGCATCCATCTCTGTTGCAGTCCCAAAATATATAGATAGCGCCATAGAACTGTTGGAAGAAAAAAATAAATCAACCAAAAATGCAGGTTAAGAACCATGAAGATTATGAGTTATGGCCATAAACAGAAACATTATGCTCATTTGCCGTTACTGTTCCAAATACAGGACTCACCTCTCTTTTAGGTGTTATATTGCCACAACAGAGAAAAATGTCAACCACCTACATAATACTGAATGCTTAAGATTATTTCCTTTTGTTTGAACCTCGAAAACAGTGTAAAAAAAAAACCCCGTATTTTTGGTTTCAAGAGATTTAATAACCTCTGTTCCAAAAGATGCAACTGATTTTAGCAATGCCATGACTTCAGGCCTTTTTGGCTTTAAGTTTCATACTATACTTATGGACCCATTTACGCAATGTCCACTTCCCAATAAAATAATACCCCATTTGCACAAACTAGCTGACTGGATTTTGACAATAAATGGCCCACCAATTCATAACATGGAGAACTATAAATTGAAGGAAACAGAACTACAAGGTACTGTATGATATAATTTCTCCTAATATGTGATTACTTTACGATATAATGTTTCATTAGGAATTTTTTTAATCAAATTCATAAAGAACCATGCTTGGATGTAATGGATAATTCATTTGCACTTTTGTATTATGTCCTCGTATGAGTTAATGCAGCTTTAAATGCACATGCAAATACTTTTGGAAAGAAGAATGGTTTCACTTGCAAAATGTAATAAGTATCCATCAGTGCATAAGGATGGTATTAACAGGAATCACAAGATTCAGAAAGCCAGCAGAGTCACATTCCTTTCGGAATGCCTGCCCACTTCTACCACAGAGTCACATTCCTTTAAAGAATTGAACCGGTGAACCATCATATAGACAATTGATACAGCAGACTCTTAACTGAAGCATCATAAGAACAACACTCTTGCCAAACAGCTCATAGAAGTAAATTTCAAAATACCAAAAAATAACTTCTGAATTCCAAACATTATCAGTATCTCGTAAAGGAGTTTTTTATCCCTCAACTGAAACTCATAAAACATGCTTAAGACCACTGTAAGCCCAAGCCACTTGGAAGACACACTGACTCAAAAAGCAGGAAAGAAAAAAAAAATCACAGCAAATAGAAAGATTGTGATCAAACTTGGAGAAACTACTACTAAAAACCAAACCCCATAAATTTCTTATCAACAATGAAGACCCTGAAAGTTTACCCAAGCAAGCCACCTACCCAACACCTTTAGGTTATCTTACAGCCCAGAGCCAAAGTAAAATGAGCAAATATAAACGGGTGAGTCCAGTCTAAATTCGACTTTCATGTCAAATAAAGAAAAACAACAAAACACTTCTCAGGGCTTTCCACATTTCACTCAAGACCTGAAAAAAACACAGAATGAGAAAAAATAACAACTTCCACACACAGATACACAGACAGCCCAGCTCGAAAACAACCAGAACCAGCCATACCGTCTTATAGTACCAAGTCCGCTTCACGAGGCGCTGGGAGTACCACTCGAGATCAGACGCCACGTGTCCCGTGAAAAGAGAAATCAGCCCAACCGCAAAGAGCAGCAGCCCGCAAACCGCCGTCCAGGGCACCGCCGACCGCCGCCGAAAGGACAAGTAATTGTAACAATGAGGCTGCTTCGGAGACAGCTGCTGCTGCAGGATTTCGGCCGCCGGATTATTCACCGGCGCTCCTCCGCCATTGCACCTCCAGGCCTTGTTAGCCACGCCCATCTTCTGCTCTCCTCCTTTTTCATATTATTACAGAGCACATCAAGATTTTTCACATACCAAAAATACGCACTGGAGGTGAGCGGCGATAGATACAATGTGCAGAGAGATAGATACAGAGGGAATTTGGGTTTTTGGAAAGCTCTGCTTGAATGTGTGTGTGTGTGTGTGTGTGTGTGTGGAGTGTTGGTGATTTGGAGTGTTTATGTTTGTGCAAACTATGTCGGTACTAATTAGTAAATTAGGGTATGATTAATCATTTATGAAGAAAAATTGAATCATTCCAAGTAACATAAACTTGTGATCTAATAAAATCTGTGGTTTGTTATTTTCCAAATTACATCATTGATTAGATTAACAAATCACAACAAGGTGTGTTTGTATATATGAAACAATACACTTCATTTCATATTCAATTCGTACTCAAAATTTAACTCAATTTTAATTTAACTTCATTATCTTCATTATCTTCAATATTATCAATATAATTAAATAATTTCAACCAATTATTCTTACACATCACATCAATTTTAATTTTAATATTCATTATCTCACATAATTTTAACTAATCATCAGCTCACACTATTTCTTTCATACTTTTACATCAAATCAACTTTAATTATTTTATTTTAAATATTATTTTAATATAAAATCAAATCCTACCAACAACTAACCATATCACTTTTTTTTTCTAAAATTAATTCTAGTTAACCAAAAACACTCATTTTGAGCAGATTTATTTGTATACAAAGACGCTTAAAATATACATCGCGTATTCCTCACACATGTCTTGTATATACTTAGAGCATCTACAATGCATTGAGTTCAATTTTACATATGTAGCATATAAATTGACTTAATACTGAATGACATGGACGAAATCAAGTAAAAAATTCAAAAGCTATTTAGTACAAAAATAAAATACTAGGTTTAGAATATCTGTCAACCAATACAAATGCTCTAGTGAGATTTTGTATAAGATTTTTTATTTAAAAATCTCACCAAATCATAAAAGTCTTAATAAATCCTAATCTCAATAAAGTTAAATACTTTTAAAAAAGTCTTAATAAATCCTAATCTCAAATAAAATTAAATACTTTTAAAAGTCAGTAAAAAATCTTATCAGGATTTATAAAAGTTTTTAGAAATTTCAATTTAATATAACCCTATCTTTTTTTTTCTTTGTTCGTTTCTTGTATATATTCCGATTCCTTACGGGTTTATTGCACCAAATCCCCCTGTATTATATGAAATCTGTGCGTTTTCCCCTAGTATTTCAAAAATTGCGTCAAACCCCCCTGTATTTAATGTTTCAATGCACACTCGCCCTCGTAAGTTAACGGCGTGACTTTTAATGCTGATAGCGTTACTTTTTGCTGAAATTACTATTATACCTTTACTTTATCCTTGAATTTACCATTATACCCTTATTGTCATATATGGTGACTTAAAAATAAAATCCCCAAAGGTGGGGATTGAACCCACTACCTTTGGATTATAAAAAGCCACCTTCACCAACTGGGCTACTTGGTGTTTTCTTATTAATGTGACTTTGTTTATTTATATCATAACATAGAGCGGAACTAATATAATAATTAAGTATATGGATTCTAATTTATAAATAATATAATAATTAAGTATATGGATTCTAATTTATAAATAATATAATAATTAAGAATATAGATTCTAAATTAGTATATAGATTATAAATTATAAATAATCTAATAATTAAATATTTAGATATAAATAATATTATAATTAAATATTTTTAGTTATAAATAATATAATAATTAAGTAAAAAGATTTTAAATTACAAATAATATAATAACTAATATAATAATTTGGTATATAGATTCTGTATATAAATAATGTAATGGTTAAATAAACATACTCTAAATTATAAATAATATAGTGAATGAATAAATAGATTCTATATTCTAAACTATAAATGATAAAATAATTAAGAAAATAATTTATAAATTATAAATAATATAATAATTAAGTAAATATGTTTTATAATAATTTATAAATATATTCTAAATTATAAATATTATAATAATTGAATAAATTGTATTCTCAAGTATAATGATAATTATAAATTATAAATAATATAATAATTAAGTATATATATT